AAGCACAGCCATATCATTTCACAACAACATCAAACCATCCTTAATCGCCCATCTTACGGTGCCTGTCACACCAACTCCCATACCAACAAGTCATAATGAAGAAGACGACTTCAGATGAGTCAAGATAAAAAATTTCCCAATCGTGACGGCCAAGGAAGAAGAAGAAAGAGGAGGGAAACCCCATCATTTTAGTGCATAAGAAATGGCTTCCAGAGCCAATAATCTACCTCAGAATATGCAGAATGCCCATATGCAACCTCAAGAACAAAGACTTCCACCTACAAGCTCCATCAAGGTTTCTTCTTTCTTCCTCTGTTACTGTTCTTGAACTTATTTATTCCTCTGTAATGGGTTTTGTTCCTTGATCTTGTGTATTCCTCTGTAATGGGTTTTGTTTCTTGATCTTCTTTCTTCCTCTGTAATGGGGCTTAATTCTTTTCTGTCGATGAAGGTACCAGAACCAGTCATCCAGTTTGAAGCAACAGTAACAGGTCAATTTTTCAGGAGGTTGTTTCAGATCATTTTCTATGTACAGCTAGGCCTGATTTTCATCTTGGTGATCACCTTGACCATCCGTGGCCTCCTTTCCGCTGCCAACCATCACCACTTCCGCCCCAGGGAATGGTACCCTCCACTTCTTGTTTCAATAGCATGTGCAGGTTTTGTTTCCTTGACATGGCAATGGATCACCTTCATCAAGCCACGAAAAGCGATCAAAGCGGCCTTTTGGATCAGTCCACTGCTGACTTGTGGTGTTGGGGTTCTACATGTGTTGATTGGCTCCGCTGGAAGTCTGGCAGTCGGCTCAATTGCATTGGTTATCGCCCTGATTCTATCCCTCTACAGTTGTTGGGTGACTCCAAGATTTGAATATGCTGCCAAGATTTTGTCAGTCTCGACTGCTTTCCCTCCTGCTCAAACCACTGGATTTGTCCTTCTGTGGGTAGCTGCCACAGTCGTCTATTGCTCCTTCATGGTGATGGGAATTGGAGGAGCGACTGCCACCAGAACTGGAATCGATATCTTGTTCATCACGGTGATCGTCCTCAGCCTGGCATGGACCCTGCAAGTGATTAAAAATATGCTGTATGTCACAATCTCGCGTGTTAGATACTTGAACTTTGCCTCTGGGGAAGATATGGACGCAGAAGTGGCACTAAGGGACACATTTAGGCATCTGACAGGAAGTGTGTGTATTGGCTCAGGCCTTGTTCCGGTAATCAGTGTCATCAGAGGCTCCTCGCGAGCCATTAATCTGTTTGCCAGAGACAGCGATGAGTTTCTGTTCTCCTGTGCAGATTGTTACTCAGGAGTTGCTTCATGTCTCATAAGATGTGGAAATAGGTGGGGTTTTGTTCATGTGGGGGTTTATAACAAAGGGTTTGTGCAGGCATCATCAGATACCTGGGAAATGTTCAAGAGGGCAGGAATGGTAGAACTGATCGACTCTGATCTCACAGGGGCGTTCTGTTTTCTTTGTGGAGTGGCAGGGGGATCAATCTGCAGCCTGGTCGCAGGAACCTGGACATTAATAATTCATAAAAGCTATGCTTCAGCAGTGTCAATCTATGCTTTCCTTATGGGCTATTTCATGGTAAGAAAGCAAACCTTTTTATGGTAAATGGGAAACATTTTCTACCTCAAAACCTGCAAACATGTCAATCTGTGTTTTTGTGTGTGTTTCCAGTGCCGAATAGCAATGGCATGGCAGCAAGCATGTGTTTCAGCTTACTATGTTGCTTATGCTGAGAACCCTGAAAGCCAACGGTTCGATGCAACCATCCCAGCTCGGCTTGAAGAGCTTAAGAGATATCGAGATTGAGAGTATAATAACAGCAATCTTGAAGCAGTTCCCAGTTGTGGAAGAAGCAGCAGACTAAACTACCAAAAACGCATTTGTGATCTAAGTAAATATGGTTTTGTAGTGAGCCACCACCTAGGAATACAATTTTGAGAAGCATCTAAAGTTGTGTAAAGATAATTCTGTCTAGTGTCTGTAAATAGCATACGACTATTCTTTCAAGTTTGAAGACCCCAGCTCAAATGGGATATTGTCTCTTTTTTCAATGCAATGGAAGTTAAAGTCCACAAAACATATTTCGATTCCCATTGCAGTCCTGTTCAAAACCTACAACCATTCAGCTTTCATCCCCTCACAAATGGAATTTTAATTGCAGATTTGTTATATATCAAAGACTGAGAAACAAGTATTCATAAGAGAAACTTAACTAGTATATAAATTTTATTCAATATGGTAAAGTAAATGCAATCCAAGACCACTTAACATATTAAAGCCATTGCAAACCAAGAAACACCTTTATAATTCAACCAAAACAGGTAAATTACAAACTTTTCTTTTATTACGAGTTACTCTAAAGGATACTGAATATCTGTAACAGATTACACAATTACCACAATTACAATGTCATTAGAACATGTAATTGTTACCACATACTCATACCAGCTGCCTACTGGAAGCAAAGAATAGAGGCAATCTATCTTATTTGGGTCCAAGATGACCACAGCCACCACATTTAGAACACAATATATTACCGGTTCCCCTACAACCTGAACAGCGATAATTACAAAATCAGAAAATTGAATTTTCAATGTAATTAGCATGTCCAGAAAACCATGCAGTCATATAACAATAATGCTTCTCTCTCTCACCAAAGTAATCAACAATTATGATTCTATGTTCTCTATCCACTTGATATGATAAAAGCATGAACAAGACAACATGCAATATGAAACTTCCAAAACATTCGAAATGACAAGTTTTCCTTGGGTGCCAGCGCTTAAAAAAATATAGACAATAAATTCAGTACTACAAGGTTTACCCCTGTTAATATTTTTCCACCCAACTATTTATAAAAGAGTTAACATTTGTATCAGTCATTATCCTATACACAAGTAAAATGCTTATTACTACTGAACCAAAGAAATTTCTGTTAAAATTTATTCTTGAGGAACAGATTTAGACACTCAACTCAAGTCAACCTAGTTTGATACTGAGGCTTGGTTTGTTGAATCAGAAACTAACACGAGACAATGATTAGGGTCTAACACCAATGAGTAATGACAAATCAACATTTCTCATTGCAAAACTAATCCATAACATGCTCATAGGTTGCAATCCATACATTGGAGATTTCCAGACAGAAAACACCAACTTTTAAACCAATGACTGTAAGAGAATACAAGTATAACATGTATGCTTGAAAATCCAAGCACATCAGCAAAATTTGTGAATAAAAAGTCTGTAGAAGAATTACTTTTACCTCGGCAGCGGACTTTAACAATGATGCCTTGAGTTTACAATATTGAGTCCACATATAATCCTGAACCAGAACTAGTGCTACAGAGGACTGCACCTTTTGCTTTGCAGTCGGTGCATCAGGGATTATCCCTGATTACTTTTTCAACGAAAGATAGTCCCTCTGGCTTCTCAATCCTCTCCTCAGGAATAGGCTTATCATAAAACAAGAGAGATTCAAGACTGCTGCTTCATCTATGTATCTTTTCTACTGAATTTGACTCAGGCTGCAATTACAGACCGTATAATTTCACACGTCATGCACAAAACCATCTTCATTCAAGGTTTTATTAAGTTGAAAAAAAAAAAAAAAGGAGAGAGAGAAAAAAGAAACCTTCATAAAGTTTTATCTGGCAAAACACACACAAACAGTAGCAAACACTTGCATTCAGAAAGGCAGTGCTGCTATTAACTAAAGAACCAAAAAAAGCAACAAAATTAGCTGCAAAGAACATGATGCTGAAAACTAGTAAAACCATCCAATGATGAGTTATTAGGAACCAAATAAAAGGGCCATGACAGGTCATAGAAACGAATACACAGAAATGCACATTTAGGGTTAAGAAAACAATAGAATTGTTGCAAAATATGCAACCATACCTACAGTTGCAGTCTTGCAGATGCTAAGTCACAGGCACCCATGTCCACATCTATTAACTTGATGCTAATAAGTACTTTGAAAATAAATCATTGGTATGGTTAGAAAATCCAAAGCACTGTATTTCTGGGTTAATACTAAAGTTCAATACTTCAAAACAATGAAACATGTGCAGGTCAAAGGAAGCTCAAGGGTAGATACAACAATACATTGGCATCAGATACAATTAATTCAACAATAAAAAAACGAAACCCAACATCAAATCTGAGTACCCATCAAAGAAATAAACGGACATGACAATTAAAAAAGGGTAAGAAATGGACTAACCATAGGAGAAGCAGCGCAAGAAACGGAGCCATTGGGAGAGACACAGCAGATTTTCTTTAAGGGCTCGACTCTATTGACTAAAAACCCATTTAAAAACTTATTACTAAGAAACAATTTTGGGGAAGAATAGAAGGGAGAGACAAATGAGGAAGAAATTTGAATTCTAGACTCCATTACTGCCGAAAATTCACATGCAGTGACATACAGGGAGTTTTGTTTGTTCCTCATTCACTAATCCTAATATTTAAACTTGAAATCTTTAACATAGAAACTCAAGTTTTAATCGCTGAACGTTTAAGACTCTTTAGAATTTTGTTTGTGCCTCTCATTCTTAACGATACAGGGATAGGAAGATGAGGATGGGATGCTACGGCGGGCTATCGGTTTTCTTCCACACTACTCGGGTTGAAATTTAAATTTGGTTCGATGGGCGAGATTGCTTCCAAGCGGGTCCTTTTTTCTAAAATATTTTTAGAAGACTTATTTAAAAACTGACTTATTAATTAATATTTTTTAAAATAAATTATTTTATTAAAAATTTTGTTTACATAAGCCTTGTATATTAATTTTTATATTAATTTAATATTTATAATATTAAAAAATTTATTTATTAATATATATTATGTGATATTAAATCTTATCTAATCAACAAACTTATTAATTTTACTAGATAAATTCAAAAATTAATATACAGAATTTATATAAATAAAATTATCAAGCAAATAGTGAGTTTATTGAAATATATTTAATGATATTAATTTTGTATAATCAACAAATAAGTTAATCCTACTAAATCAATTTAAAATTTGATATATATAATCATAATATATATATGAATAAAACTTTTAATCTAAAATTAACTTTTAAAAATATTAATTTAAAAATTAAGTTTTCAAACATTATCTCTCAAAATAATTTAATTAAAGATATAATATGTTTTACTTACTTATCGAAGCTACTGTCTTCCAAACGTTTCCAATCAAAAATAACCATCATAATTTTACTAATCAAAGTTACACAAAAATTATATACTTGATTAAAAATTTTTGGAAGGTAATAAACTTGAAAAATAAGAAAAAAAATTATATTTTTAGTTAAAAATTTTTAAATGTTGTCTTTATTAATTGAAAATTTTTAACTATTACGTGTTAATTTTGTAAAATATTATGTTTTTTTTAATTAACCTCTGATATCCAATATCCTTAAAATCCTGACTAAACTACAATCTTTCCTCTATTTGCATCACTTAAACTTAACATTTTATTTAAAGAAACTGAAAATTTTCAACTCAGATCAATAATACGTTGTTAGTAAAAAATATTATCTTTATGTATAGGAAATCTCAATCCTGGGCCAAAATATACAGTGGTTCTTTCCGTCCGTTAGCACCTAAAAATATCATCCGTTCGTGTAATTCAGGAGAGTCATCTAACAATGACTATTCCCTAGTCAAACAATAAAATCAAAATAAATTAAATTTAATCTGTCGAAATGGTTCCATAACTTTGATCCAGAAACTTCCTTCTTGTGTGACAAAGAAAATGGGAGGTGAATTCAACTGACAAAACTAAAAAAAGGTTCATTTCACCCCCATCTGAAAACAGTCAATCTCACTTTCGGGTCAAATATCACACCATTTGGAAGCCCCGCATATACACAAAATGAAATTTGTATCATAAAACATTGTATACTTTCAGTAACACTGTAAAAAAAGAACCATCAAAGGGTACTGTCAGTCATCCTCATCCTCTGGATCAAAATCCCTGACCTTCACTTCTGCATCTTCTCCATACTGAATGCAGTTGTCAATTTGAGCCAACACATATTGTATGCTGCAACAGAGGCAGGCAGCATTATTTGGAAGGTACAAGAAATGTTAACCAGGGTGCAAAAGTTTCTTGCACAAAATTGCATTCAATCAAGCAACACAAGTTGCTTGTCCAGAAAACCTCTACCTAATCTAACATACGTTATCTGTTAAATGTTGTTTTTGTTAAAACATAAATCAAATGGAATAAGGTATTCAGTTTTCTGCTTGTTCCCTTTTGTAGTGTGGTGGGTTCAGTATTCTCATAACAACTTCTAATCACAAGAAGACAAACTAATACTAGACCTCAGAACTAAATATGGTCTAAAAGGTTCAAAACATAAGTGAGAAGCAATTTCATGGGGTAAACAATACCTGCTTTCCTTCCTCAAATCAAGTGGGATGAAGCTCACCATGCTATATTCATCCACCTAACATGAAAAGAAAATAACAAGGTGAGCACATTGATGCCATCCATGGAAGGTCAAATGATGGGAGGCTCTTTTCAATACATCACATTATATTTTGTTTTAAGCCCATTAATATCTATTAGAAAACATTCATGGTATGTTATAAATCAAGATTCAACATAATGAATGTGTAAGTTGTAAGACCAAATCAAGGGATGATTTTGTTAGTATTTAAGAGCCAACTAGGAAAATGAGACCAAATGGCTGGGATAGTGGAACCATGTAGCTGAATTATAACATATAATATATAATTTATTCCAAAACTAATCTTGAGATATCAAAGGAAATTAGTTACAATGGGCCCCTCTGTAACTTACCAATTCAATCAAAGATTTGTTCAGCTTTTTGAATCGAGGAGCCATTTTTTCGTTCAGCTCTGACAGCAGAATGTGAGGCTCTGGATCCAAATAGCTTAAAAAAAGAGATAAAAATAATCATCAGTGGAAAAAAAAAAGGAAGAGGCATACAAAAGTACACAGAGCAAGCAGAATATATGATGCGTACTTATCTATATCCCTTTTGTTTGTCACAAGGTCCATTTTGGAGAGAATATTAATATGGGGCAATTCAAGTTGAACCATTGCAGAAAGGGATGCCATGCACCCACTGATAAACTTAGTTACATCTGTGATGAACTGCAACAAAAAAGCAAAAAACAAAGGGTAAAAAAATGGCAATAGTTAATAACAAACCATTAAAAAATCACCATCTCTATGGAAAGATAACTTGGACAAACCTGTGAATCAAGCAAATATACAGCACAAACATTGAAGTTCTTACGCTTCAGATGCTCCACAAAGTTACGAAGTACTGGTACATGTGAAAAGAGCTCTATCTGACCTATACATGTTAAAAGTTTGAAAATTTTGTAACACATTTCAAGTTAAATGAACACAAGTGTGCCTGGTCAAGGGAATCTCCATATGCTTGGGTAGTACTAAAGCAGTTTGCAGGTTAGCAATTTCTTTTTTCAAGTTGACATACTCTAGAATCAAGCATGTGCACACTGTAACATATGCTATCTTTCTTTGTTGGGAAAGAAAAAAGAAACTAACTCTCTTGAACAATTCAATAAAATATCACAACAGTAGAACTTACCTCAACTGCGTTCTAAAAATCCAAAAGAAAGCAAATATAATTGATTAAAATAACCTTAACCCTTACTGTCAAAAAACATTTGAAAACACAGCGAAAAAAAGAACCACCCCTATTAGTTAAAGTGGCTGATTGTGGTAACTTGGTAGTGTGACCATTTTCCGCAAGGCTTTTCCACTGAATCAATGATACTTTATAAAAGCCTAAAAGCAATTCAGTCTTTCTCCATACTACATCCATATTTTACTAGGAAAAAAGCTTTTACAATTTCTTAATAAGAAATTTTATCTTATCCAAAAAAAAAAAAAAAGGGAAAAGAGCAGAAGAATTCTTTACTTTTGGTAAGTCACCGCAAAATTATATTCTAAATTCATGATATGTCTTGAACAGCTTAAACATGATCTTTCTTGGATCATATATCCAAGGCAACACTACAAAATTTTTTTTTCTGGCCAACAAGGCAACACTATAATTGATTCTCAAATTTTCTCGAAGAACAAGCAACAACCAATTAATCATCAAATGTTGAGTGTATATAGCTCACCATAATAATATAGAATAAGATAACCTCAAACTACGAAACATAAATGTAAAGAACATACTACCCATTAACAGATACCTGGGCAGTCGAAAACCAGATAGTCATCATCCAAATAATTGTCCAACTCTTCAGTTAACCAATCATCCAGATTTTCTTCAAGATGTCTACATGATAATTAAGGCACCAAAAGCACAATTTACAAGGGTGAAAGTAATGAACAGAGCCCTTCGCATGACCAAGAAGAATACTTCTATTACAATAAAAGGATATGTCATTGAGGACAGAAGCATGTTTCTTGACTTAAGTCAAAAATTGCTTGAAAAACATTCAGTGCTTCCTTTCAAACCCTTAAAAAATAAACATTTATCCCACTGAAACAATATGGTAAAGAATTGAAATCTACAAAAAAAATGAGTTTCTAATCCATCAGGCAAGAAATAAAGAACTAGTAATAAAGGATACTCCATACAGTATATAAGACCCCCATTTGGTCCCAAACCAAGTTCCTCCATAACATCATCCAAACTAATAAGTTCCCTAATATCTGCGGGAGAAAAAAACACTTCCTTGTTCAGAAAATACAGTTCAATGCAAATTAGAAAAATTAAAAACAATCAACTAATAAGGGGATCCCATTTACCCATGGCAACTGGATAGTCAAAATTCTCAGCAGCGGGATCCAGGTTCACAATGTGTATCGAGCGTCCAATTGCCTCACAATGCTGGTGCAGACTAGAGCAATATGTTGACTGATTGAAAGTACATACATAGCCAAATATTGTGAAACAAATTATTGTATTCTTCCACAACAAAAACAAGAAAACCCTGAATGATGAAAATGTTACATATAGAGTACCTCACCTTTCCACTGCCGGCAGGGCCGATGACTAGCTGTGCATAACCCATGATAGCTTCTCAAATTTAAAAACTCCCAAACTAACTCAGAACGAACAGAGGGAATTCAAGACCCGAAATGATGCAAGAACTGCAACAGTAACATATGCAGTACACCACACACCAACAGCGAACAACAAATTCAAGACGTCGGCGTAGCCCATAAACACCGGCAAGAGAAAGACAACATCAGAGAACCTGAATTAACAAATTTGAAGAAAAAACACAAAAAAGACTCAGCATTGAACTTCCCCAAAAAACAATTTTATTCCGATGATCTTACTTAATCGGAACTGGAGGCGGAAGGGTTAAAGGGAAGAAGAAAGAAGGGAGGGAGAAAGGAACAGACCTGAGTAGAAAAAGCAGATCAGGTGGGTATTTCTTCTGTGTTTGAATGGAGGTGAGAGTGAGAAGACACGTTCTGGGAAGGTTCGATTCTTAGGTCTCCGTGAAAGGTAGGGTTTCGAAGAAGCAACTGAAACGAAAAGGGGTAAAAGATGAGGGGAACCAGTTGGCTTAAACCTCGGGGGTAGGGATGTTCAGCGTTTAGATTAAATCGGATTTTAATATTTTAAAAATTAAATCAATTTCATTGTGTAGGAAAATTTTTAAATCAATTTAATCTATTATCTTATTATAATTAAACTAATTTTACTTAGATTTAATTGCTGTAGTTTGACTGGATTGATAAATTTTAATATTATTTAAATATATTTAATTAAATAAAAAATCTGAATACTCATCATAATTTTAAAGTAATTGTTTTTTTCTTTTTTTAAATTAAGAATTTTAAGATAATTTATGTATTTATTTATATCATTTTTTTAAAATTAAAAGTTAAAGTAAGATTTTTTGTGATAAAATAATTAATTAGAATAAATAAATAATAATAAGATTAAAGAACAAAAAAATATTTATTTATCTTAAATAATAAAAAATAATAATTAATTTAAAATAAATTTAAAATTAAATTACAATAATTATTTTGCGATAGAGAGTATCATATTATACAAAACATAATTATAAATAACACTAACATAATAAATAAAAAAATAATAGTACTAATAAAGTAACCAAGACATAAATACAAATTGTTACTACTCAAGAAAATAAAGAGCTTTTGTTTATATAAAGAATAATTTAGAGGTACATTATTTTTAAATTAAGTTAATTAAATTATATTATAGAATTATAAAATCAAAATAAAATTAGAAAAGGATAACTTATATAATTAATTTTATATTATAACAATAAAAATATATCATATTATATAAATAAATAAAGTACAACAAGAAAAGAAATTTTCAATATACAATTTGTTAAATAAGAAGGAATTTACAAATATATAAATTTTACACATCAAACCTATATAAAATTTTAATTATTTATATTTTCACTTTTATTTATTGAAATTTATTCATATTTATTACAGATAATAATTTTTTTATCTAAAAAATTATGATAAATTTTAATTATTGAAAGTGAAAAATTAAATAATTAAAACTTTGTACAAGTGTAGTGCGTTAAACTTATATATAAATAGATCCATCTTCTTATTAATTATAGTTTTATTTTACCAAAAAAAAAATATTTATTGCAAAATGAAAAAGTATAAATATTATATTATTTTTTTTACTAACCTTTTGGTATCCGGTAACTACATTAAGTCCCAACTAATTTGGAATCAAATCGTGTCGGATCCCATTGAGGGAGAAGTTTCCCCAGCGACTGTTTATTCATTCACAAAACTTGAATTCAAGAATTTGCTTAAGAAGAACAGAACTCTTTCCACTCAAATCAATAGATCATTGATTATATTATTTAATTAAATTGTTTTGTAAGCAGATAGATTAGTCGATTTTAATATTATTTAAATATATTTAATTAGATAAAAAAATCTAAATACTCTTTATAATTTTAAAATAATCATTATTTTTTAATTTTTCTTTAAA